GAGTGTTCCATTTGAAAAATCAAAGTTGCTACTGCTTTCTAATAGAAGCGGCAACACCGCATTGTCGAAAATATTTTAGTTGGCTAGAGAATGTCCGAATATGCCCTCCATTAAATTTTCAAAGTGATCCGTTGTCTGGTTCACCAGAAACGTCTAATGTGCCATCCACCGTGAATCAGCCTGTATAGTCTCTTATAAGGCATTTTGACTTAAAATTTGGAAATTTTTAATGCTTCAGAAAAACATATTTCAAGACATAATATACAGCTGTCATCGTTGTTGACGAATCGGAACCATATAAATATTCTAAGAATATTTTGACTTTGCTAATTGTTCATGCTGAAGTGCCTATTAGAATACCATCCCAGTGATTTTTAGCGAGAAAAGAATGTAATTATTGTTTTCAAATTCTGTGCCTTCTTGAGCTATGGCGGTACTATGTTTTATAGGAATGAATATATATCAAATTTATTTTGTACAATAAATATAAATATTAGCAGTGCTGTTTTATTTCTTTCATGTAAAACCTCGTAATCTCATTTGAACGAACATGGGTAATAGAGTCGTTTATTCAATTCTGATTTTGTGGAGAACATTTCAAATCGATAAAGTTCACTGCTATCGAAATACGTTACTTCAAAACTGTGTGGTATATTTGAGGTTCAAGCCTCCGGATTCATTTCATTGGTTAAATTCAGTGAATATGTGCAATTTATTTCAGTTAGCCATACCTCATTTATGTTAATTCCTTCTTCTTTTTAATCGAAACTGTTTGTGTTTCTGTGTCCGGCCCTCTCAACTAAATATTTGATAACCTATGCTCCTAGACAGGTATCAAAATAAAAACTCCAGCCATGACAAAAGAGGAGGACTCGAGGCAACTATATGAACTTAACTGTCTTCCAAAGGAACTTTTTCTCCTAAAAATGCTTTCAAAGAGAATAGGTATAGTACAGTCAAATTCGAGCTGGTAATATGACAGGAAAAGAGAATGACAAAGTAACTCTAAATAAGACTGTCAATGGAAAAGCTTTCCTGTCCTATGTTATAAATGTTATGTACCGGATTGGAACAGTTCTGAAGAAACACAGAGTGCAGTCGATTTTTAGGCCAAGAAAAGCATCGGGGTATTCTTTGTAGCTGTGGATCAGTTTACATTGGACCCAGGACGTGAAATGTGAGTACCTGGTTCTGTCAACACGATGGAAGGTTAAAAACAAACTTTTTCATAAACAATTACTCAAGCAATTCTATTTTGATTATTTTGAATTTATGTTCTTGATATTTTTCACTTACAATTCAATTTTCAGGTGTTTTATCGAGCTTACTATAAGAAAGTAGGTGGAACTGTGAAAACATTTTTTCACAAACTCCACGTGAGTTTTCCAGAACCTCACAATTAGGCAATTGCTCCAGCACTAATTTTTCTGAAAAAGTTAATTCATTACCACAGATTCATTCCATTTGACATCTAATTGTGCTCCTTTTTAACTCTCCTAGAAAGCCCATTCAATTAGCTCCTTGTGCCTTCACTTTAGGAGGCGGATGATCAGTCAATATATTCACGACCCCCTCGCAACCATCGTACATTGTATAACATATGTCTAGAACATTCCTTGTCGTCAAAGTATTCTGTACTTCTTTCTGGCCCAGCGCAATTCTGATGGCTTCATCTTTAGACAACTTGTCCAAGTCTCTTCTTG